AGCCTATCCCAGCTGTCATAGGGCAAGAGGCAGGATCGCCAGTCTATCGCAGGGCTAACACAGACAGACAACCATTTGCACTTACATTCACACCGATGGGCAATTTAGAATCATTAGTTAACGTAACCCCACTAATTGCATGTCTCAGGTTTGTGGGAGGAAGCCGGAGTACCCAGAGAGAACCCACAGAAACACGGGGATAACATGCAAACGCAGATGGTGGAATCGAACTCAGGACTGTGAGGCGACACTGCAGTGCGTGCAATACATGCTTGCTCTTTGTGGTAAAATCCAGAAATATCATGTTTTTCTATACCACCAAATCGCAATAACTGTTGCGTCATTGTAAGGTAAAGACCCTACAGTAAGACAAAACCCCACATCGCTCCGAGTGTCCCCGTAAGGACACGTTGTCATGTTGCAGTATTACTGTCTGCTGTATCACTACGGTTGCTGTTACTCTATTTGATACCAGAAAAAATGCATTAAAAAAGGATCAAGGTGTTTGTCATTTCATACATTATTCTTTATTTAACACATGTACAGTATAAACAGTGCCAATATACACACGTGGCAGATGGGTTCAATCAGACTCTCAGGTGGTCTCGATTCCCACATTCCCACACCAAATATTATTCCTCACTAAAAACCAGTCAAATAGAGTACAAAACAGGAACTCCAGCAGCTTGCAGTCATTAACTGTGGGCCAACGCCAGAGACTTCTGCAGCTCCGCCAGGTGATTGGAAGCTTGTGTGATCATCATACGGATTGCATCCTGAACTGACCAGACAGACACATTAAATAACACAGTTTGAACATTTAGTCCAAGAGGGGAAAAACTCAGATGCTGCTAACTGTTTATTTTCTTTTACCTATATCTAACTTCTGATCTGATGACACAATGACTTTTAGTGGACCTGGTAAAACAAAAGTGAAAAAAACAACAACTGTGTACCTCATGTGTGACATTCTTGTTCCTATGGAATTCCTCTCTGGCCCAGTCTCTCAAGAACTTCCTATCTGCCTCATCTGGCACCCGTCGTATGGTCCTCAGCATGTTTCTGTAGATCCCCAACACATTCTGCCTGTGTAAAAACTTAGCCAAACGTATGCTATTAGGGCACACAGTTTAATATATGCGGTTGTGCTAGGACCAAATCTGGCTTAATGTTTTTAAATATGTTTGAAACTTATTTAAAAACATGCAGTATTGCTCTGATAATATGCACAGATTCCTTAGAGACTCTTCTAAC